TTTCTTCATGGGCTTGTTGGCCATCTGAATGTCTTCTTCGGTGAAGTGTCTGTTCATATTCTGTGCCCATTTTTCTATTGGATTATTCACCTTTATCATGTTGTGGTGCTCAAGTATTTTATAAATTCTAGATATAAGTCCCTTAACTGACATGTCATTACCAAATACTTTTCCCCAGTCTGTGGCTTCCCTTTTGACCCTGTTGAAGAAGTTTTTGGATGTGTACACACTGGGTTTCTAAGGCTGTAAATCTTTATGGGAGGATACTGCCCATATTTCTCCCAATGGCCAGCTGGTGAATTAAAACTGTAAGAAAGGTCAGTAGGGAACTCTGGAGACCTAGTAGGTTAAGGACTTGTACTACCAACCCAAAGGCAGGCAGTTTGAATCTACTATCTGCCCTGAGAGAGAAAGATGGGCAATCTCCTCCTGTGCATATTGTCTCTGAAAACCTACTGGAAAGTCAGCTTTGAGTTGGTTCTGACTCAACAGCAAGGAATTGGAATTTCTGTGGGAAAACTGGCAGTCCAACAACTAACCCAACTCTTAATGATAGGAGAAAAAAAAATCCAAAAGGTTTCTGCAAGTTATAAATAATGAAATTTCAATGTAAAATTATTTTCCAAAACAATTTTGTTGTTAATAGTCATACACTCTAAGAAACATGTTGTGGTGGGGTTCAGTCAAGCTGGAACTAACTCTTAGCTATTCCTCCAGCAGGTTTTTAGAGGCAGTAAACTACATGGGAGGAAACTGTTTGTCTTTCTCCTATTGAAATATCATACTAAGAAATTTACAATTATAAAATGAAACTGATAATTACTAAGTGGCATCCACTTCCTAAACAACAGGCCTTGGAAACTCTATGAACTTTGATAAATGACGATAGTTTTAGAAAGGCTTCAGGCCTTTTGTTCATAAGGTCGCTATGAGTTGTGCTCGAATCAACGGCATCAACAACAACAGCAACAATTACTAAACATTCTGTGTAGTCTGGTGTGGGAAGAGGGCTACAGGTGCACTAAGTGACACCATTCATAATGCTAGCACTGCTCACGGAACTCATATTATGGAGTAGAACAAAGTGTCAGAGGATCTTTAAGACTGTCACTTTTTGGAAGCACAGAGCCGGGTCTCAGTTCCAAGGTGAGTTTGAACTGCTAACTTTTATATTAGGTCTGTGCTTAACGATTTGCACCACCTAGAGACAAGGGTTACACAGACATAAACACGACAGTTCACAGACCAGTTGAAGAGCCCATGTTATTATCAAAATTGTACTGAAGAACATGAAATAATTAGCCTTTACCAACTTAATTGTGAGATATACAAGAAAAACTCCCATGCCTCTACTCCTAGGGGGGGAAAAAGGGCATGTAAGACAGTATTTTTAAAAAGCTGAATCAGTATTATTCAATTCCTGATCAGACTTTAACCCTACTGAACCAAGACTCTCTGAGAGCAGAGTCTAAGACCCTACATTTGAACAGGCTCCCAGGTGATCGTTACACAGTAAAGGTGAAGTACTGATGGTATAAACAGTGTGGCAGAAGGTGCTGCCTTGACTTGTTCAAGGTTCTAAGAATTACAAGACAAAAATAGGCAGAGAACTCAGAAATCTTGATTAATGCACCACCCACCACTGCATGAGTAACTCCCAAAAATACAGCACTGTGAGATGACAAAAGTACTAAAGACCATCTAAAGATATCCGAGGCTTCTTATGCAAAGACTCAAGTTTTTGGTGGCATCGTGTGTGTGTGTGTGTGTGTGTGTGTGTGTGTGTGTGTGTGTGTGTCTGTTGAAAGGCAAAATCTAATCATCATTCCTGCAGAAGGAGTCAGAGAACAGGTTAAGACAAGTCAAAAAATGGGAAGTAGTATATAATATACTCCTAAGAGTTATCCAAAGGAAAAAAGACAGAATTCCAAAATATATTTGTATGAATGTTGAATATGTGAAAAAGGATGATGTAATCAGCAGGGTTCAGTGGACTTGGAGTGAAACAGAGTCAGTGTCTTTAGCATTATGCAGAAACAGAGTGCCCAGAATAGCTGAAGGGAGCTCATGGGCAGCTTTCTTACACGATGCATAGCATGACTCACTCACCTACCCAAGCTAAACTAAATGATCCCTTAAGGGATCATTTTCACAATTAAAGTGAATAAATCTGCCTTTTGGTTCAAGACATTCTGTGTGAACTGTGAAGAACAAACCCATTTTTTTTAATAGATCTAATAACCTTGGTGAAACGTATTTAAAATCTTTTACTTTGACCATATACCCTTCAATTCTTCACTGATTTTACAATTAACAAAAAGGAAAAACAATTTTAATAAGTCTTGCAACAATTATAGTAAATCTTGCAATTAGTAAAGATATTAATTAAAAGAGGGAAGTTGTTCAGAGAGTTATGAGAAGGCTTTGGAGTCCTGGTGCCAACATGGTTAAATTTCATTGCCGCTAACTACCAGGATGGTAGTCTGAGCCACTCTGCAGGAAGGAGATGTGGGAGACAGATTCCATAAAGATTTACAGCCCCGGAAACCCTACAGGGCAGTTTTACTCTGTCCTAAAGGGTTACCTGATATGCATCTGAGAGCTGGACAACAGTAGAAGAACTGATGCCTTTGAGCTGTGGTGTTCAAGAAGAGTACTGAATACCTATCTCATGGACTGCAAAACAGATGTATCATAGAAAAAGTGTAGCAGAGTGCTCCTTGGAAGCTTCATCTCTCATACTTTGGGCATGTTGCTAGGAGAGGCTTTGGAAAGGGACATCAGCTTGGAAAGGTGAAGGGTTGGAGAAAAAGAGGAAGACCCTTAACCATATGGAGTGATGTAGTGACTGCTACAATGGGCTCAACTGTGTCAGGGATGATGAGGATGGCACAAGACAAGAGAGGGTTCAGATGTGTTGTTCACAAGGTCACTATGGGTAGTACTCAACTTGATGGTACCTAACAACAACAACAACAACAACAACAACAACAACAACGTGCTGTTTTAGAATCAAAGCAAAGGCAATGGGCAGTAAGGCAAGCTAACTGACCGCAGGAACTCCATTATACGGCATTTCTTTGCTTAATTTATTATGCTTAGTTCTTGAGACCTAGACACTCTCAAGACGACTTTAAAAATGATCACATTCAGAGATGATCATCAGTCCTTTCAACAGAATTTTTACGAAATTGCAGGAGAGCTCTGGTGGCCTAGTGGCAGGAAACTGCACTGCAATCCCAGAGGTGCGCGGTTCAAATCCACCAGATGCTCTGCTGAAGAAGGAGAAACAGGTACCTCCTGTACCAGTCAGATCCAATTTGACGGTACGCACATTAAAAAAAAATAATTTTTTTTTAAAAAAGAAATTGCAATAAATACATGACATTGCTGAGGTGAGCAGAATTCCCTCGAGATACCTGCCCCCCATTTACTTAATCAAACACTAACTAGATACTGCTGTGCAGGAACTGGACAGACAGATTAAGATTACTACCCAGCTGCCCTTAAAACATGCAGAATCTCTTGGATCATCCTGATGAGCCTCATATAATCACATGAGCAAAGAGCAGAAGAGTCAGAGAGATACAGCAGCAGAGGCAGGAGAGATCCTAGGAGTAAGGAGGACTCCCCATTGCTGGTTGCTCCAGGGACAGGGAAAAGCACACAGGTGTGAGGGTAGCCTCGAGAATATGAGCCTGACCCCCAACCCAGAACTAGGAAGGAAACTTCAGTTCTACAATCACACAGAAATAAACTCTGCCAAAATCTGGAAAAGCTAGGAAGTGGATTCCCTCAGGATCTCCAGGTAAGAGGACTGACAGCACCTTGATTTCAGCCTAGTGGCATCTAGAGACTACCCAGAGCAAACCAGCCAAATACCATGAAACTATTATTGTCAAGCAGATAGGCCAGCGTTCTTTCCTGTAAGAAAATAAAACATCAACAAACTGCTTAGTGAACTTGGAAACGTAATTTATGCTATGTATCCTCTGACCCAAAGGCAAGTGGTTCGAATTCACTAACCTCTTTGTTGGAGAAAGATGAGCAATCTCCTTCCATGTGATAAATACCTCTGAAAAGTGGGATTCTCAGCTACATGTCACCTCCAACTCAATGGCACAGAACCTCAACACGCAAATGTATCTGTATCTCTATATGTATCTATATATCTGTCTATCTATCTTCAAGCAGACTCCAGATTCATTTCGACTTATTAATGTATTCATTCCCCAGGTCAGGACTACTACAAGGATACTACTAATATTGGTTCTCATCTTTGTTATTGTTATTGTGTACCGTCCAGTCAGAACTGACTCATAGTTGACTATCCAGTGGCTTTTCAGAGGCAGTTAACTGTACGAAAGGAGACTGCCCATCCTTCTTCAGCAGAGCAGCTGGTGACCTTGAACCATGTGCTTTTAGGATTGCAGTACGGCTTCTTGCCACTAGACCACCAGAGCAAAGGTGTCAATACAAACAATCAAACTGCAGCTAAGTTTTATTCTGGCCTGAAAATCAGCTGGCCTGTTGCACTCATTATTTAATTTGCTGTATGTTCATTTTATAGCTTAACTTTAACAAGATGTTTACTGTCTCAGGGCAGGGAAATGGGCTCTAGATGTAAATTTCACCAATGCTTACGATGAATCATGTAGATGTGCGATTAACAAAAACAAACAAACACCTTTGCTGATCAATATGTTTAAGCATAAAAAGCAAAATACCTCCTATTGTCAGTATTAGTAAACTTCAAAAAGTATTTCCTTTAAACAACCTCAAAATTTAACACTGAAATCTGAGTAGATAAAATTGTATTTAAATTATCTTAGTAGAGCTATAGAGCCACAAAATTCTGCAAAGTTTACTGGGTAATGATTACCAGATTCAGAAGACAAGAGATAAAATAAAGCTACTTAGAGAAAGAACAAAGATACATTCTCAGTATGATACTGGAAAAATGAATGAACATTCCTGGGAACTCCATCATTCCTCATTACCATTATTTCGTAAGTATGATCACTTTGATGTTTCTTGTATTCAAATCCTCGGGTAAAACACTGTAAAAGAAAGGAAAATTAAGTTACCGGCAAGCCACTATCTTACAAAACAGAAGACAGTTTATGTGTACTCTTGTGATGAGGAATTAATTTTGTCTGCATCTACAATAGGATGGTACACTGACGATCACAGCTTTTCAGTAGCTCTCAAAGAGAAAAAAAGAAATGTGAATAAAGGCTTTTTTCTGGGACAACACTTCCTTTGATAAGAGTAAAAGCCCTGGACAGACTGTCTATATTTGCCCCATATCTACCACATCTCAGCAATTCTAAGACATATCTTTGTTTTCATATTTGGAAATGGGAATCATAACGGAAGCATATTAAATTCCCATTAGTCATTTCTACACATTTTGAAATTTGTGAAATAATCAATCGTGTCTTGGGTAGGATAAAAACAACACTGTTTGCTGTGTGACCTTTGGCAAGTTAGTTAACCTTTCTCTGCCCAAGTTTCTTCATCTATAATACTACTTATCCCCCCCCCCAAAAAAAGAATACTTCTCCCATAATGTTTGTAGTGATAATTATAAGGTTAATTAGTGCAAGTACTCAGAATAGTGTCTGGCATAGAGTAAGCACTTCTTTTTTTTTCCTTCCCTGATAACCAAATCTTGTTTTCTACAAAGAGTCAATACAAGCAGGTAATAATGCTTGTTTAAAAGAGTGAGCACTTCTAATTAGTATTATCATATCATCCAAAACACAGCTTGTTTCCTTGTTACCTGCTCAGTCAAAGATGCTATCAAATGGAACAGTCCTCCACTTGTTTCATTTATGTCTAATACTTTAGACCCACTGGCCAAACATTAGTCTTAAGGTAATACAGACATATGGTATATTGAATAGTATCTACTTGCTTTGTTTCTCAACTTTGCACTGGTTAAAAAAAAATGTGTAATGGAGGACTGACTGGAAGGAATAGACTTAATAACAATAATCAATAATTACCTCAAGATTTACTCTATCCATAAAACTAGGCTAGGAGAGACAAGCCTCTCCTTAGTGAATTACCTACCTGCAAGCAGAGAAAAAAAGGAGGCGGTCCACATTCAGCACACTTGATATATGGCTCCATGAGGTAGGAGGAGCAGCCTCGGCAAGGTGGTTTATCAGAGGGATCATCTAGAAGAAGAACACACACTAGCTTCAAAACTCCTTACTCTTTTAAGTGCAAAAAGGTGAAAAATCTACAAATTACATAGGTAGTAAGGTGTACTGAAAAGTTCATGGAGATAAGGTGAGTTAACATCAAATAAAAGAAAAAAATAATAGTAAAATGAAAATTGTTTTTTATTTCAGCACAACTTCTACCCTTCTTAACGTTTAGTATACTACATTAAACAGCATTTCAGTAGAATAGTGCTTGCAAAGAAATTTACAAATAAAAGCTTTAGCTGCAATTTTCAAGATGTAACTTTTCAATGGCTCAGCTTGGGGGTAACTATGAACCCACTCCAATACAACACATATTAAGTAAATCCAACAAAAGGTTAGCAATGGTTTGTTCTAGGTAGTGGGCATGCAAGTTGTCATATACTCTTAATTTTTATGTTTGAAATCAATGATAAAAAGTTGGAGGGGAAAAATTCCCTTAAATATATGCCTTTGAATACATTCTTTTATACTTGAATTGGGAGTTAAACCCAGAAAGCCCTTTTTCCCTCTTTTTCTTCCATGTTAACCAGAAAGTACAGCTAACCTTCCTCCAGATACAATGACTATTATTATTATTATTTCTAAAATATTAAAGAAATAAGTATAATCTAAATTCTCTAAAGTCAAAAGAATCAGGTAAGTGCCCCAAATTCTGGCTCTCTGGAGTCAGAGCATATTTAATTTAGGAGCCTTTGAAAAAAGGGGGAGTTCTGGGGATGAGTTGTGCTGCTAACCCAAAGGCTAGTCTCTGGCTGTTCGAACCCAACAGCAGCTCCTATGGAGAAAGCCGGGCAGTTTCCTCCTGTTGGGATTACAGCCTTAGAACCAGATCACTGTGAATAGGAACCAGCTCAAAGGCAGTGACAATGAAGCAGAGAGAAGACAAAAGCTTTGGAAGAAGATGAAGGGATTTCATTGTTTAGCCTGAGGCAGGATTTCTCATTCTATAATAGCATTTTCCTCTCTAAATTCTAGAAACACTCTTCAAGGCCTCTTTTTCTCTTCTGAGAATTATTGCTCTTTTTAGTTGTTTCTAGATGAAGAAATGGAGGAAACTAATATGGGTGAGAAATATACTGCTTCTAGCTAACCACTTATCTTTTTTTTTCTTCTAATTTTCATTTTATTTTAATAATTTTAATGAACATTTACAGAGATTTTGGATTTCCATTCATTCATTGCTCTTATTAGTGATTTTATTGAAAGTTTACACAACACTGTTCACATTTTAAATTAAGACATACAAGAATGAAAATTGCTTAATAATAATCACCAGATGACCAATTTTTACCAAATTGCTCTTTTCCTCATTTTTTTATTTCACTGATTTAAGTTTTTCTTTCTTTAAATATCTCAGAAAAAGAATTAACGAAATTTTTGGGTGGCTTTTTTTTTAATGGAGCTGACATTCACAATCCATAAAATCAATCTGTACAATTACAGAGGCATTTAGTATACACACTGTACAATTCAGAGGCATTTAGTATACACACAATGCTGTTCAACTACCACTTCTATCTTGTCCCCACATATTTTCATCACCTCCCAGACAGACCTTGTTCCTAATCAGGTACTACCTACTCTGGCCTCCCTTCAACCTCTGACAAACCATATAAAAGAAATAAATGTGTCAACGTTTATGTCTGGTCTTCTTTCATTTAGCTTAATGTTTTCCAGGTTCATCCAAGTTACAAGATGAGCCAGTATGTTATTCCATTTTATGGGTTAATTATATTTCATTTATACAGACATTCCTCATTTTAGTAAGGAACTTTTTAACCCTCAGAAAGAAAAACAATTATTTTATGAAAGCAACTCAATTATTAAAATTTTAGACACAAAAGTAGAGAGAATAAAGTACAAATTAATCCATAATCCCCCTACTCAGAAATGTCTACCAATAACCTGTTTATTTTCTTAAAGCCCTTTTATGTTTAAGCACACTAAACATAAGTGGGGTACTACACATAGTTCAAGCTGCTAACCAAAAGTCCAGCATAAAGAAGAAACAGGAATGGAGCGAGTATATAAACACCTGTCTTGGAGAAAGTACAGCTCAGTGCTCCTTGTAGGTAAGAATGGTGAAGCTTCATCTCTCATATTTCGGGCATATTGTAAGGAAAGGATATCAAGGTGAAAAGGTCGGTCAGCAGGAGGAAAACCCTCAATGAAATGGATTGGCACAGTGCCTGCAGCTATGGGATAAAATGTATCAGAGATAAGGATGGCACAGGATAGGAACTCATCCAAGTCTCTTGTTCATAGGGTCATGATGAGTCTTACTTGATTCCACAGCACTTAACAAAAATACCAACCAACCGAAAGGTTGGCAGTTTGAATTCACTAGCCGCTCTGTGAGAGAAAGATGTGGTGGTCTGCTTCCATAAAGGTTTACGTTCCTGGAAACCTTCTCTCCCATTGCTGTCAAGTCAGAATGGACTCATAGCTGATCTTCCAGTGGATTTTCAGAGGCTGTAAACTGTTCTCTATGTTGTTGTTGTTATGGACCATATTTGTTGTTATTTTAAGCCATCAGAGCTCCCTATAAGAAAGTCCTAATATGACTTTATGAATATTTAGAATAGACTAGATAGAAGTGGATTTGATTTCAGGGTTATACATTTTTGTAATTACCCTTGGTGTCACAATGGTTAAGCATTCGGTTAAAGGGACATTTTCTAAATCAGAGGAGGTAGTTTTCTGGTTGCCACAATTACTTCAAGGCACTTACTGATAGTTAGCAAGTAGAAACCAGGGAAGTTAGAAATCAGGCAATGCTCAAGAGAGTCCTATAAAACAGAATTGGCTGTGTCCTGTACACCTTTCAACTGCTCCACCAGACAGTCAAGTAAGTGAAAATCTGTTCATAATTACATGAGCTTAGAACCTAATTATACACATAGCACAAAATATCAATGATAGTTTTGTTATAGACCTAATTTTCTAGGAGGGCAATTGCATGCAATTCTAGAGAAGTATTTTGCTTTCAGAATTTTGCAACTTGTGATACTTCTGAATCAACAATACAATGCCCCTGAATCATTCTGCATGTATCAATCATTACAAGACAAGCAGCTGCAGCAATTCAACAAATGGATACAAGTGTTTTCTGGAGGTAGTTCCAGAGTTCTGATTTATGGACAAACTGGCGGTTACCCTTTAATGCTATGTAAAGTCATCTTCACTTTGAAACAAATGAACCAACCTGAAAACAAATTTATTGTTAGAACTACCTTTACTTGCTGCATGTGCAGCTTTAAATCACTGGAAAATCACTGAAAAGGCTTCAAGCTCTTTCCTTGCATTAAGTAAGAACCATTTGCAGTAGTTTGCATTTACCTACAAATTCAACTAAAAGTCACAATTAGGAATGGATCCAGCTTATAACTTAGCAAATGTCTGCACTATAGTCATGCCTATATTGGTTAGAAATGGCATTATTTTATTAGAAGTTAGTTCTTGTTTCTACTTTGTATCATAGCTAGGGCATGTTTGGGTTGGTTTTTTTTTGTTTTTTTTTAAGGTCACATGTAATTTTACCTTGCTATATATTTACATGGAGGGAGCCCTGGTAGTCTTGTCTGTAAGGAGTTGCAATTCTAACCCAAAGGCAGCGCCTCTTCCAAGAGGTCTGTCTGATTCCACAAGCTGCTCTGAGGGAGAGAGATGTACAGTCTCCCATGTGATTTGTACAACAGCCCTAAACCCTGCTCTATCCTGTGCCAATCTCACTGTCTCTGACACACCCACTCCGATTACCCCAGGCACTAAATCAGTCCACCTCATAAAGTCTTCCTCTCCTGCACTGTCCCTCCACCCTCCCAAGCATGACTTCCTTCTCTGAGGGCTGGACCCTCCTTGCAACATGTCCAAAGTATGTCAGACGAAGTTTCAGAAACCTTGCCTCCAAGGAGCAGCCTGGTTTAATCCTGTCCAGGAAAAACTTGTTTTCTGTCAGATACTTCTCTGAATCTGAGCATTCAGATTGAGACAGACTAGGAAGGATTGGCCATCTACTTCCAAAATAGCAGGCCTCTGAGAGCCCTATGTACAATAGTCATGATACAGTCACTATTTTTTGCCAATATCATAATTCAGAGTCATCAACTGTCCCTCCTTATTCACTGTGGTGTTGGTTTATTAATTTTAATGAACATTCACAAAGATTTCTGGATTTCCATTCATTCATCGTTGCACTTTTCTCCCTTCCCACCTCTTCCCCCTCACTGTTGTTTTCACATGCTTGAAACGATTATAAAGCCAAGGCTAGTCGGGGTTGTGTATGGAGCAGAACAGCTCCCTCGCTGTGATCTGCTGAGAGTCAGCACTTGACACACACACACACACACACAAAACAAAAACCAAAACAAACATGTCACAGTCCTCCGTCACCTTAGCAGTTTTTCATGCTCTTCTGCAGCAGATCTGCCCAATACATCATTTGATTTCTTGACTACTGCTTTTATGGGTGTTAACTGCAGATCAAGTAAAAGGAATTCCTTGATCATTTCAATTATTTTCTCCACTTATCAAGCTGCCTGCTCCCATAACGATTAGAGCGCTAGAAACCTTGTGGAGTTCTACTGTCTTACTAGGTCACTAGGGTCCCAATCAACTTAATGACCATGGACAAAAAGCTAAAACCCATAACATAGAAAGGATTTTTTAAAACTGAGAGTAGAAGACCAAAATTCCTATCACAAAATTTAAAAAAAAGAGATAATGTAAAAGTAAATAAGTAAACACATCATGATACATCTATAAATGACCGTTAAACTAATGAAGAGATACTCAGCTTTACTTGTTGGGAATGAAGACATCTCTAATACCCCAAAAATTTGTATGCTCAAGGTTACGCAGTAGAGCACCATCTACAAATGCAAAATACTATTTAAATGTCTAAGCATTAGAGTCTAGTTTAATGAGCTTCAGCACATTCACACAATGGAGTACAATGCAACTCTAAA